TGGAGCATTTGATTATCACCTACAACAGAGCTAAGTAACTGCAGCAGAGCTACAGACCATTTCACCCCTTCATTCCTCCCTGCAGGCCACTTCTGGTGACACCTTTGCTGGCGTCACCGGAAGTGATTCAGATTATTCCAGGAATTAACTAACTTTTATGGAGCCCCCGGTGGCGCAGTGGGTTAAACTTTTGTGCCGGCAGGACTGAAGACTGACAGGTCACAGGTTCGAATCCAGGGAGAGCATGGATGAGCTCCCTCTGTTAGCTCCAGCTCCCCATGTGAGGACATGAGAGAAGCTTCCCACAAATATGGTGTTTTTTTTTCCGTGTCAGGAGTGACTTGAGAAACTTCAAGTCGCTTCTGGTGTGAGAGAATTGGCTGTCTGCAAGGACATTGCCCAGGGGACACCCGGATGATTTGATGTTTTTATCATCCTTGTGGGAGGCTTCTCTCATGCCCCTGTATGAGGAGCTGGAACTGATAGAGGGAGCTCATCCGCCTCTCACCGGATTCGAACCTGCGACCTGTCGGTCTTCAGTCCTGCCGGCACAGGGATGGTAAAACATCAAAAACATCCTGGCATCCCCTAGGCAACATCCTTGCAATGGCCAATTCTCTAACACCAGAAGTAACTTGCAGTTTCTCAAGTCACTCCTGACATGAAAAAAATGACTTTTATCAGTTTGCAGTTGAGGTGAAAGTAGTCAGAAGTAAGATGTGTCAAAATGTTGTGTTTTGTGGCAATTATTGTTTATAAAAGTTTGTTTGGGACAGACAAATAGTTGAGTGGATCTTTAGGTCTTCAGTTATCTTCAGAAGGGCTGGGGAGATGGGTCCCCAGGTGGCACATGTAGTCTATAGACTGCAACTTGGTCACATATATCCTATAAATCTATTTTCATTATTTTTATAATAAGAATTTTAAGCATATCTTCCAACCATGGTACTGTGGCTTCAGCTGACCACTAGAGGGAAGTCGTTTCTTAGCCACTTGGAACTTGAATCTATCCTTTGGAGAGAAAAAAAAGACAGCTTGGAGGTTTTGAAAGAAACTGATGTGGTTGAAGTAGCCAAGTGAAAAGGACAAGCAAAGTGAACCTTACCACCAAATACCCCTTGAGATCACAGCAGCATACTAGACACAGTCAGCTTTCATTCTAGGTGGAACACAAAGAAATGCATGGGGAGAAACACCACTGATTTCCTTTCAGCCGCAAATTTCTACATCCTTGTCACCAAGCCCAAAGATCTGTGCTTTTAATGCTAGTGGCATCAGAATGAGTCATATGCTCAATACAAACTCAGAAGCTTTTATCTGCTTGAAATGATCACTGTCCTTAAGAAATAACTTCTCTAAATGCCCCCCTTGAAGTGACTCTGCTTTGCTCACAATAGCATCATTGGCTTGCAAAATCCATCCTGAGCCAAAAGGGAGAGTGAAGAACATAGAACAGGATTGTTCAGACAGGGAAATCATTGAAACACAGATTTATATGTGTGTGTGTGTGTGTGTGTGTGTGTGAGACACACACTAAAATGTCATGCTTTGAAGGGATTGTGATGCAACTTTAACGAAACATAGTGTTGTCCCCGCTCCAAAGGTGGTACCATCTATACAAATAAAAATGTAATGTTCGTTTGTGGTATTAACAGAACTCAAAAACCAGTGGGCCAATTGACACCAAATTTCGACAGCATAGACCTAACAACCCAATGTATGTCCTTCACTCAAAAATTTTGATTTTGTCATTTGGGAGTTGTAGTTGCTGGGATTTATAGTTCACCAACCATCAAAGAGCATTCTGAACCCCACCAATGATGGAATTGAACCAAACTTGGCACACAGTTCTCCCATGACCAACAGAAAATACTGGAAGGGTTTGATGGGCAGTGTCCTTTGGTTTTGGAGTTGTAGTTCACCTAATCCAGAGATCACTGTGGACTCAAACAATGCTGGATCTGGACCAAACTCTGTACGAATACTCAAGATACCCAAATGTGAACACTGGTGGAGTTTGGGGGAAATAGAATCTTGACATTTGGGAGTTGAAGTTGCTGTGATTTATAGTTCACCTACAATCACAGAGCATTCTGAACCCCACCAACGAAAGAATTGGGTCAAACCCCCCACACAGAACACCCATGTGGGCCACAGCAATGCGTGGCAGGGTACGGCTAGCATAAAATAATTTTCCTAATCTTGATGGAAAGCAAGGTAAACAAACAAATATAGGATGTAGGAAGAGCACTTAAAAACTAGTGTGAACCACTTGGGCAGTGGAGGGTGGGGGACGCTAGATTTTTCATACCTCAGAACCCCGGATGGTGTTGCCTAGTCTTATCTTCACAAGTTCCAGAGATGGTCCATGGACCACCATTATGAGTAACACTGGGTTGCAGCACACATTAGTAAATATGAGAGTTTGTAATGGATCTTTCAAGCAAAGCATCTGATGTGCTAGACAGGAGTTAGAAGAGTGCACCAACCCACTCCATCCACACATAATATCTAGCAGAGAGAGAGAGAAAATCAAACTTCTACACTCTTACATAATCCAAAATATCAAAGCAGATAATCTGCTTTGAACTAGATTATACAAGTCAACATATAATCGAGTCGAAAGCAGATAATCTGAATTTTATATTGTAGTGTAGAAGGAGCCTCAGAAGAAGTTTGTCTCAATACATGCTTCATGGAGGACACGCAGAGAGATGGGAGTGAGATATAAGAACACATGAAACTCCAAAAAAGAAAAGAAAAGAAAAAAAGTTTATATCATCCAGGAAGAGAGTGGATGTAAACAAATGCACAAACAAGAAGTAACAATAAACTCTTTGTGCCAAAACTTCAAGAGAGTGGCACAATTCATCTACCATTGAGTATAGGCATGCAAAGTTTACAAACTCCAACAACAGATATTATCTGTATCTCACAATAACAGAGAAAGTTTCATTAGGGCACTGTTGATTACACATATCACTAACAGGAAAAGCTGGTTGTTATTATTTATTTATTTTTTAAAAAACAGTTCAAATAAAAGGTTATGTATTTAATTTAGGAATTGCAATGAGACTGTAACTGTCTGGGTCAGGGCAACCTTGAGTCAAGCTTTATTACAGAATGTCAGATGTGGTTTTTGTATTAAAACAGAACAATATTTTATTTTTAATGATTTAGATGTTATACCAAACTTGAAAGAGCGGTAAGCAGTCATTCAGCTGAAGTCATGGATGCCTCATTTAAGCCTGGTTCTTGATGATATCAATGTGTCATTGCCAACATCATCATTACTTCTGCAGTTAATTTTGCTAAAGTTCCAAGTTTTTTTTAAATGAGTGGTGGACTTTTTCTCTCTCTTTACTTAGCCAAGAGATGCTCACTTTGCATAAGTCTTAGAAATGAGCATTGGTTAATGTTTTGCATTGCAAACTGAAGTTTAAAATTGCAAGCTTGCAGTTCAATCCCAAACTAAATACACCAAAAAGCTTTATTTGGATACACATCATTAGTCACACTTACTTGGACAGAAGTGAGTATCTTGAAGCCCTTAAATGTTCTTGAACTGCAACTCCCAACATTCATCCTACTGCCTATTCTGGGTAGGGCTACTGGGAATTCTGGAAATCCACACAATTCCTATTCCTGTACTTGGAAGTAAGTGCCTTTGGACACAAGAGTTACTTCTGAATGTATAAAATTTGCCTCAGAGAGTTTCCTTCTTGGGGCTTTTGTTACTGTGGAGCACCCATAGTTGCACACCATTCCTGGAGCTTGAGACACTGAGAGGATATCTTTAGTGTCTTTAGGAGGCTTCCTGTGTTCTCATTAGATAGAAGAGGGGCAGTGAGGGAGAGGGGAAGCCTGGTGGCAACAATTCCCCCCATGGGATGGGGAAGGGGGCAATGCAGGATGCGGGGTGACAGGTTCCCATGCTGCCTGCCTGATTTGCCCCGCTGTCCAACAAATGCTCCTACTGTTTCCCGGGTTTTGGACCTCAATAACATGTGGTTGTTAATCCAGTGGGAAGCTATGGAGACTATGAGCTGAACTATCTCAGTGATCCTATAAGACCCATGTGTCTCTGTGGGGTAGGAAGCATGACTCTTATGAATAGGTAGCTTCAAAGTAAAGTTCCCCCTGTCCTCCAGATATCTCACAGCCACCTATTAAAAATATTTTGAATTGTAGCATCTTTAGCTAGGAACCATTTGAAGTTCATTTTTAAGACTGCCACTCTTGATCTGTAGTTCTACCTTCTCAATAAGTTTTAAACAAGCTTGGGGGTTGACTTGGGAGTAAACACAACTGTTAAGCAGCAGAATTGAATATGGACTTACCTATCAGTCAAAACCATCTTGCCTCAGTAGAAAGTGTTCAGTCTTAAGCAGGCATGTAGCCGGGGGCAGGGGGGGGGGGAGCTTGAAGGGCTCATGGTGGTCCGCGAGAAGGCCTTACTGGTACATTACTTAAACTGTTATGTTTATTTATATCATGATCTGATCACCATGGTCAATATATCCCATATGCATGGGGGTATTGGGGTAACAATACAAAAAGTTTGCTAGGGTAGACCTGGCTAGGGTCCTGGTCTTAAGTTATTCATCGGATCTCACATGAAAGTGGGGAAAGTCGGTGAAAATGGAGGGAACCATCATCTTTCATTCTCTATCATCAGGTCCCGTGCCTTTCCATGTTCAGGAATGTTGGCCACCCAACATCCTTTACCCACCTCTACCTGGCTTCTCTCTGGTGTCTTTTGTTGGTAGTTGAGTAACTCCTGACTCCTGAAAATGCAGTCTTCTCTCTGCTTCCCTGTAGTGCCATAACAGAGTCCAATGGGCAACCACCAGAGGTGGCCTTACATCATGTTAAGGCCCCCCGTGGGACTCCATTTTGATCATGCAGAGAAGTGGATGAAAGACAGCATCTGATGGGATCCATTACTCACATTATACAATAATTCAATCATAAGAGCTTTGTATGTTGTTCTGACTTACCTCTAACAGTAGCAATTTCCCCATCTTCATGAGCCATGCACTGCATGGCAGTTGCTGCAACACATATTGGCATGCTGACTCTCTGTCCCAAGACTGAAGTTGACAGGTCCAAGGAAGACACATCCTTCAGCATCCGGGGGTATAATTTTAATCTAGCACAGATGAAAATGGAGAATTCAGCTATTGGATTATTATCATTAAGCCTTTGCTCAGTATACAACATTCACAATATAACATTAACAATATAAGATGGTGCCTCCAGTTCTAACATAAGTTAAGTGTTACCTTCAGGTCAATTAAAACTCCTCCTCTCTGAAAACTCTGCAGGTCTAATTTCTGTGACCTTGTTCAAACCCAGCTACAGGGAAGCAATGACGTGCTTTGCACGATCAACTTTTGTAAACAGGTTGTCATCGGTCTTACGTTTTTTCAGTGAAGGGCAGTTTATTTTCTAATGGCTTTCAGAAAGTCACAGATGCTGTGTGTCAGAAGTGATTATCAGAGCGTTGTTTGTTTTCTCTCACTCTTAAGTTAAAATGGTGAAAGAAGGGACTGTGAATTGATTCACTTGAGTGTGCTCAAGCTAGGAGTTTTTCGTAAAATCCATTTTCTAATCAATAATTTGGCTGAATGCAACATTGCAAATGGATTTCTACCTGCTAAGACCATAAATGCTGGAAGGCAATCTTTTTTTAGCCTATAAACACTAATGTAGGCTGGATCTACACTGCCCTATATCCCAGGATTTGATCCCAGATTATATTCTTATCCCAGATTATCTGGTAGTGTAGACTCGTATAATCCAGTTCAAAGCAGATAATCTGGGATCAGATCCTGGGATATAGGGCAGTGTAGACCCAGCCTTGGAGACAAGAAAGCCAATTGGTGCTCTTATGTTTTGGAGGGGACATTTAAAATGACATGCTAATCAATTTAATTAACTTTAAAGACTTTTTGGATTTTTTCCAGGACTCAAATATGAAGACTATGCAACAGCCATATAATTATCTCCCACCATCCCAAACAGTTACTAGCCTGTCTCCAATCTTTTACTTGATAAAGCAGATGGTGGCAAAAACAATCAATCTCTAGGTTTTCTTGGGCAAAGTGGATTATTTAGATTGTTTCAGGTCTAAAATCAAACAGCTCTAGGGTATTAGTGGACTGCTTCCTCAGTGGACATCCTACAGGAGAAACTGGCTAAAGAAAGTGTCTCCTTGATTGTTCTCCCTCTGAAGGACTCAAACATGGAGCTAGTTTTGGATCCATAATTGGTGCCTTCTGTGTACATTGTCTAATTTTGCCTAATGCACTAATAGCAAATCTTCCAGGGAAGGGCAATGCAGTGTTCCATCATTAAATCACTTTCTATTTAGAATACACAGTATATGGGACTGCTCTTGGAGAGTGCTGAGAAACCGCTGTTCATGGATAATACTTCACTTGTATTACATTAATTTCAATTAATTAATTTGTTTCTGGGGCTACGTTCAAACTGCTGCTTATCTACAAACACTTAAAATTCAGCGCTTTTTTGGCGTCAGGAGCAACTTGAGAAACTGCAAGTCGCTTCTGGTGTGAGAGAATTGACCATCTGCAAGGACGTTGCCCAGAGGACGCATGTATATTTGATGTTTTACCATCTTTGTGGGAGGCTTTTCTCATGTTCCCACATGGGGAGCTGGAGCTGACAGAGGATCAGCAGTCCTGCCGGCACAAGGGTTTAACCCATTGCAATACCAGGGGCTCTGATGACATATTAAAAATTATCTCCTTCCGTATGAAGCTATTCATATCTTCTCATTTTCTTCAAGGAACCACCTATCCATGTCACCATCACATTCAGTTTAGGTTGGTGAGGAACATCAATACCATACCCTTTTCAATGACTGTAGGAACATTCTCTTCCAGCTTACTTGTCTGAATGTATCTCCCTCTACTTGTCCGAACATATCTCTCTTGTAGCTTAAGATCCACCGGGGAGGCCCTGCTCTCGGTCCTACCAGCCTCACAAATGCTTCTGATGGGGATGAGAGACAGGGCCTTCTCAATGGTGACCCCCTGCTTGTGGAACTCGCTCCCAGTGAGATTAGAATGGCGTCCTCCCTCCTTTCCTTTAGGAAAAAACCGAAATCATGGTTGTGGAACCAGGCCTTTGGCTAGCAGACATAACGACACTTTGGACATTGAACTGGACCATATATATGATTGCTATAATTAATAGAAATGGCTATATGATTGTATAACTAATGTTGTTTTTAATCTATTGTGCATTTATGATTTTTATGTTGTTGTTCATTGTGATATTGTGGCATCGAATTGTCACAATGAGTCCCCCCTCGGGGGTTGAGAAGGGCAGGGTAGGAATGTTGTAAATAAAATAAGTAAATAAATAAATATGTTATTCCTTGCCCCCAGTTTCAACAGGACAGTGAGTATATTTCTGCTCTCTTCTGCAAACAGGGGGCTGTTTTAGTGCTATAGGGTATTTTAAGATACCTTAGTTTTAATATGGGGTGTTTTAAAGCTGCCTCTGATTTACTTTGATGTTATGGATTTATTTAATGTTTTTCTATTGTCTTTAAGATCTATTAGGGAAACCTGTGATGCTGGAATTTTAGTAACTAAATCCAATTTGTGCCAAGGCTTATAGTCACCAATATGCAACCTATCTATGATTTCATGGAACATCTTCTGGTGGGAAAACATGCCTTACGTTGAACACTTAATAGCAAGTATCATATTAGCTCTTCAGCAGAGCATCCCACTGGCCAAAGGTGACCAAACAATTTAATATCAAGAATTTCCTCTGCTGAGTTACAAATGAGATTCCCACTCTTGTGATGGGCACATTGGAAATCCTCCTTCATAATTAAAAGTAAGGAGAAGATAATGCAAAAGGCAATGATTTGATGTAGCTCCCAATAACAGAGGAATTAAGGCCCTCACGAAATGGTGCATCACACTAATTTCAGTCAAGGCAAAATGATCATCCATGTTTTTAAAAAGATGGCATAGCGGTTTAAGAATTAGACTATGACCCCGGAGCCCAGGGTTCAAGCCTCACTTGGTCATGAAAACCCAATGGGTGACTTTGGGCAGTCACACAGTCTTAGCCTCAGAAAGCCTAGGTCAGAAACAACTTGAAGAAGAATATCTTAATTGCAAGCATAACCTCCACACCCCATTATCTCGTTTCATATTAAATTACCTTGAATGAAATCATTGATCAGCACATGTGGGAGAGTTCTGTAGGAACACAGAACAAATAATAACTAATCGTGCCAACCGAAGGGCTATTTCTGACGTGAACCATAATTTAGTGCCTTATTCAAACCATTTTGTAACAATGCAGGTACTTTAAGTACTGGCAATGTTTTGCCTGCCATTAGTTATGTTTTGCCTGCCATTCATTTGGTCCATTTGATCTTTATATTTCTCTATTTTCAGGAGTTTTTCAATAAAGTTCAGGACATGGAACCTTTTGAGAAATGCTACTACACTACAACTGTAGTGACTGATATGACTGTGCCATGAAATATCATTCAGTAATCATCTGAATATTTCTCTTGGTTTTCTGCCAGCTCAACACCATGATGTAAAATGTAAATGAAGAAAAGAGACAAATTTGAATTCTACCGTTGTTCTTCCTTTTTCTTCTGCAAAGCAAGATGAGATTTGCAATTAAGCAATCTACTACCAGTATTTTTCTCAGGAATATAAATTAGAAGGTGAATGCTGAGGAGTAATATTTGACAGGGTTTTTTTTTACCGTGTTTTAAAAATGTGTGTGTGTGTGTGGGGGGGGATTAATAGCCATGTTCATAGTTACACTCACCCAGGGGTGTCACTTTTCTCTATGCATATTTTTATAGTATCCAAAGCAGAATGTAGATGATGAGAACAGAACTACACCACTTTGTTTCATTTGTAGGTAACTTTACCATCTCTGATGAAAAAGACTGTGAAGCTTCAAAGGCTGGTATGTATTTTATGCCTTTGTGTTGACCCAATAAAAGTTTTAGCACAGGAAAGATTTTGAATCTACAGTAGAGTCTAACTTATCCAACCTTCACTTATCCAGCATTCCATCTTATCCAACTCTCTTATCCAACGCCCCCCCCCCTTCCTCAAGCATTTCCCCTTCAATTAAAGGAGCTCTCCCCAATTCTCTCTCCATTCCCAATAAGTGAAAAAGGCATGGCATGGAGGAGAAGGAGGGAGGAAAGAGGGAAAAGAGATAGGACCGGAAGCAAAAGCATCCTCCCTCCTTCCCTCTGTCATGTCCATGCTCCTCTTTCACATCTGGCCACTTCCTCCTGAGCCGCTCTAGCCTTGAAGTGTTGCCTTGCCTTAATCCTTTGAGTCCCTGTTGTTAGTATTCTAGGTGTCTAGCACTGTGTCGGACAGGTAACAGTAGCAGACTCCATATTATCTGAAACTTTCATTTATTCGACGTTCTGCCGGCCCGTTTATGTCAGACAAGTGAGACTCTACTGTATTTGGTTTTGGTCTTTGTTTTATTTTATTGGTCAACATGTTTCTTGAGTCCATGTCAGTCCTTGGGTGTCCAGCAATACGTTGACGCATGTGATCATTGACTTCTTTGAACATTTTATTCACAGATGAGAAAGAACACCTCTGTCTCAAACACGTCTGGCGGGGACAAGGGACAGGGCCTTCTCAGTAGTGGCCCCCCGCCTGTGGAATTCACTCCCTGGGGAAATTAGGTCATCGTCATCCCTCCTCACCTTTAGAAAGAAAGTAAAAATGTGGATTTGGGACCAGGCCTTTGGGTAATTAGGTGGAAATGAAAAGTGACAATGTTGACAATGGCTTGGAAGTTGATTATGGATAAGTTAAACGGAGTACTCAGTCATAGTATACGGCTAGATTAATGACCACCAGACTGGTAATAGCTCAATGGACTGTAAGTATATTGCTTTAATGTTTTATGTTTTAATGTTTTATGCTTTTAACTATTATAATTATTGGTGTTTTGTATTTATTGTGGCATCAAATTGTTGCCAATTGGAAGCTGCCCTGAGTCCCCCCAGGGGTTGAGAAGAGCGGGGTAAAAGTGTTCAAAATAAATAAATAAAAATAAACTGTAAATAGCCATGATTTGTAATCCATTAATTTTACTGTCATT